CCTACTTCAAAAGGGTGTAGATTTCAATTGGGGTCCAGCGCAGCAGCAGGCGTTCGAGCAGATGAAGCAGTCGCTCACGTCTTCACCGACACTATCGTACCCAGATCCCACTCGCCCGTACGTTGACCGACGCATCAGATCGGGCCATTGGAGCAGTGCTTCTTCAGGACCAGGGCCGCGGGATGCAGCCGATAGCATACGAGTCGCGTAAGCTTAGGGGAGCAGAGCTGAACTAACCCATTCACGACAAGGAGGCATTCGCGATCATCCATGCGTATAAGGTTTGGAGGTGCTACCTAAAGGGGGGAGATAGTGTTATACGCACGGACCATTGCTCGCTTTGTTTCCTCAAGTCACAGCCGCAGTTGAGTCGTCGCCAGACTAGATGGATGGAATTCATGGAGGGGAGCTTTCACTACAGGATAGAGTACAAGCCAGGCGTTCGCAACCCAGCAGATCCGCTCACTCGCCCTATTTGCCAGCTCGCCAGCCTCACAGTCACTGCCGGCCATCCACTTCTCACAGCACTCTTCGAGCACGGTTACACAGTAGATCCCGACTTCACACCGCAATCGCTCGCAGGAGCAGAGGTGCAGGGTAGTGTCTACATTCGGAAGGGGACATCACGGATTTGGGTTCCCGCCTACCGCCCTCTTCGACAACTTCTTCTTTCCGAGGCGCACGATGTAGTTATCGCGGGTCACTTTGGAGCAGGTAAGATGGCTAAGACGCTTAGTCGCACGTACTTCTAGCCAGGGCTTGCAGCAAGCGTAGAGGATTACATTCACTCGTGCGACACGTGTCAGCGTACGAAGTCCTCTCGCCAACGCAAGGCATGACTTTTGCAGCCGATTCCACCACCCGACCGCCCTTGGCAGGTAGTTACCATGGATTTCATCATGGCTTTGCCGTGTACTGTTAGGGGTCACGATGTCATCTTCGTGGTAGTGGATAAGTTTTCTAGAGCAGCGCACTTCATCCCCACTCACGACAAGGTCACAGAAGAGGAAGCCGCGACGTTGTTCGTAGATAACGTAGTCCGACTGCACGGGGTTCCAGATTCCATCATCTCATACCGCGACCCTTGTTTCACTTCGAGGTTCTGGAAGCAGCTTTTCGTACTGTTTGGGACTCGCTTAGCCATGTCGTCTGCGTATTGTCAGAATCCCAACCACTAGACCATTGGGATAAAATGGCTTATTAAGTAGCGGGTCAGTGCGCCCATAATCCCCCAGGACAACGAGCCTGTAACCCTTCCATAGGATCAATCGGGAATCACCAGTGGACCTCTGACACCCCCCCACACTGGGATGCCCGAAGTGCACACACTGGGATTCGAACCCGAGACCGCTCTGATACCATGTCAGAATCCCAACCACTAGACCATTGGGATAAAAGGGCTTATTAAGTAGCGGGTCAGTGCGCCCATAACCCCCCAGGACAACGAGCCTGTAACCCTTCCATAGGATCAATTGGGGATCACCAGTGGACCTCTGACACGTATCATCCAGAGACAGACGGACAGAGTGAGCGTGTGAACCAGACCTTGGAACAGATTCTTCGCAACATCACGATGCACAACGCAGCCGCATGGGACAAGAAGTTGAGCATGGCCGAGTTCGCCTACAACAACATGCACTGCTCGTCCACATGCATGTCACTGTTCTTCGCACTGTACGGTCAACACCCCAATGTCCCCACTCGTGTCGATCTCACACCCACAGTCCCTCGTGCGGACAACTTCCACCAGCATCTCACCTTCATCCATGATCACGTGAGGAAGCACCTTGAGCTCGCAAATGCACGCATGGCACGCACCACCAACCACAGTCGTCGTAAGGTGTCGTTTGTAGTCGACGACCGTGTTCTTTTGGATAGCCGCAACCTCCGACTGCCACAGGACAGCAAGCTTCGCCCTCGTTTCATTGGTCCATTCGTCATTGAGCGCGCACTAGGTCCAATCGCATACCGCCTCCGCCTTCCTGCCCATTTCTGCATGCACCCGTCATTCCACGTGTCTCTTCTTCATCCATACACTGATCCCAACGCCACCTTCTCGGGCCGTGATCGCACTCCACTACCGGTAGCTGTTGACACCGACGAGCCCGACTACCAGATCCAGCGCATCCTCCGGCACCGACGCCGTCTCCAGGGGGGTGTCTCTTTCATCGACTTTTTGGTTTGTTGGCGTGGTTACGATGCAGCCGACGACAGCTGGGTTCCTTCGTCCTCGCTGTCTCCCGACAACGCTTGCCTCCAAGCGTACCTTTAGTCTGCAGGCGCCGCGGACGACGCCTCCTTGGGAGGGGGGTAGTGTTACGGGGTACTTTACTGTTCAAGGGCTAATCACCATAAACAGTGTTCCCAACCCCATCCCAATCTTATCCTTTCAGATTTCCAGGATTTCCAGCATGCCACGTGGCACTCTAGTTTTCTTGCATTCCCATTCCTAGTCCCACGAACTACTTTCCGACAATCGCTCTTGCATGCTATATCAGCCTTGCTTGTATTCGCCAACATCATTCAATCTTAACTCAGTTCCTTCTTCGCCTATTTTGCTAAGACTTCCTTCGCCAAAGTCTTCCGCCGCGTTTTATCCTCAATATACACAACCCCACCCAGCTATTCTTTAGCAGATTTAGGCCAAGGGGCCTAACAAATATAATGTATTACATTTCCGAAATGAACGACCCTACACCCCACCTCATCCCCGGCGCCTTCCCCGGTGAAACGCGTTCGCAGCTGAGCAGCAAGGACGTGTGGAAACTAGCGAGAGATAATTGCTCCAGTGCCTTGTTTGGTGATTCGCTCTTGCCCACGTGTCCCCGAATTGCTCGAGTGGCCATCCAATTCAGTGATAATTGCTCGAGTGGCCATGCCAGGGCATTTTCGAGGTGTTTTTTTCTCTGGCACATAACCCTACAAGGGTTCGTACCCCCGAGATTCCTCGTTCGCACAATAGTAGATGCGCGGTCATTTTAGGCCCAATGCGCGACCAATGAGCGCGTGAGCAATTACATCAGCGATCATAAACTGCAACGCCAGAGCATAAATGCACGAACATATTATTGACCGCGCACGATTGGTCAATAATATGCTTCTTGCCCCTTTTGGCAATGCGCGTCCAATCACGCACGGTCATATAATTCACTACCATATATTTAGGCGATAAAGGGTCGCCCAAATACCAATATGAGTGCGCATATACTACCATTAGTTCTATCATATATCCGCTCTATATAAAACCATGTATATCAAATATCATAAATATATTATCTGCTATTAATTTAAGCCCATCATACTAGACATAATATTGTATCGTGGCATATCATAATATTAATTTAAGCCCATCATACCGTGGTCCATAATATTGTATTTCCGGTAATATGGTTGCAGAAATAATATGTTCGGCAGCATAATATTAATTTAAGCCCAGCATAATATGCTGCCACCATGGTTATGATGGGCTTAAATTAATAGCAGAGAATATATTTATGGCATTTGATATACATTGTTTTATATGGACCGGAAATATGATAGAACTAATGGTAGTATATGCGCGCTCATATTGGTTGTTGGGCGACCCTTTATCGCCTAAATATATGGTCGTGAATTATATGACCGCGCGTGATTGGACGCGCATTGCCAAAAAGGACAAGAAGCATATTATCGACCAATCGTGCGCGGTCAATAATATGTTCGTGCATTTATGCTCTGGCGTTGCAGTTTATGATCGCTGATGTAATTGCCCACGTGCTCATTGGTCGCGCATTGGGCCGAAAATGACCGCCATCTACTGTTGTGCGAACGAGGAATTTCGGGGGTACGAACCCTTTAAGGGTTATGTGCCAGGGAAAAAAACACCTCGAAAATGCCCTGGCATGGCCACTCGACCAATTATCACTGAATTGGATGGCCACTCGAGCAATTCGGGGACACGTGGGCAAGAGCGAATCACCAAACAAGGCACTGGAGCAATTCTCTCAACTAGCGAAGACGGTCAGACAGCAGGTTACACGTGTCGCAAGTGTCGTGACCTACTGTCCTAGGCGCAAAAACAAAATTTGTTAATGTTCAGGTTTTCGCTGCTCCACCCTCAACTTCCTCGTCACCCCCTCTCATCCCCCTTGTGCAGCCCTCCGTTTCTCCCATTGCATTATTCCATCTCATCGCGTTCCACCCATTGACCTCTGGGCATCCCGCTCTGCCCATCGACCTCCGTCCATCGCGCTAATGCATTTGCGCACCCATCGGGCATGGCTCGAGCTAATGCACGCCGATGGGCCTCGCCTCCGACGACGGTCGCTGCTGCGCCACCTCGTCGCCCCCCGCCCTTCCGCCACAAATTCCTGATGCATTATTGCGGATAGCCCGCCACGAGTTGTGTTGTGCCCTTCGCGAATCGCTCTCGCTACTCGCTCTCAGCAAATATATCGCCCATGTGCGTCTTAGCACTCACAGTTGCACTTCTTCTCCTTCCCTTTCACCGCCTCTCTCACCTTACCGCGTCTCGCTCCTCCTGTCGGTCGCACCTAGCTTATTCCTCTCAATCGCTCGTAATCCAGCACCAGGTATCACCGCCGGCACTAAAGCACTTACTCACGAAGGTTCGACTCTTCGGCGCGCGGCTGGAAAGAGGCTGAAGCCCGTTCACCGTGGCTCTGCTTGTCGTCATGGCTCGCCGCGGACGCCCGTGTGTCGTTGGCGTCGTCGCACTCGTCGCCGGGCTCGCTGCGATCAGCCTCCTCGCGACCCACGCCAGCGCAGGTGAGCGCCGTCGTGCTCCCACTATCGCCACTCCCAGTGACTCGCGTTCACTCTTTTTGGTTGCACTCGTTCTTACAATGCTCTTGCCCTTGTTTGTGGGTGGTGTCGGAAAGTACGTGCGTGAGTGTTGGGGTGCGCGTGAGCGCAGCGCAGGGGTGTGGGTGAGCGCAATTTCTTACCTTTCCAACCCGCCTGCCCTGCTTCATCCCGGAACCATCTCGAATCCCCTGCAGACGCGTGTGCCACCGTGGATTGCGGGTCAGTCGCTTCCTGCACTCCGTACGATGATGGCAGCACCGAGTGCCTGTGCGACGGGGGTTATGTCTTCAACGTAACAGACAAGACATGCAATGGTGAGTGGAGGGAGAGTGGCAGTGATGCAGTATCGGCTGCATGGCTGAATGTCTCAGTGAGCTGCCCGTCGCCTGCCCAGAGTTTACAGTCACCTGCCATTCAGTATCTCTTGCTCCTTGACTTCCCCCCTCATTATTACTTCCACCCTCTCCTTCCCCCCCATGCCCGTGGCAGATCCGTGCGCGGATGTGGCGGTGCAGTGTCCAGTGAGGGCGGAGTGCGTGGCGAGGAGGGGCAAGGCGGAGTGCGAGTGCGAGATGGGGTACATCCTGCAGAACAACACCTGCACTGGTGAGATTCAACCGTCTTCACGCAATCACATCTTCCCACGTCTCACGCTTCAACAGCAATAACCCCTGAGAGGCCCCCCTGAGAGGCCCCCCTGAGAGGCACCCCTGAGAGGCCCCCCTGAGAGGCCCCCCTGAGAGGCCCCCCTGAGAGGCACCCCTGAGAGGCCTCCCTGAGAGGCCCCCCTGAGAGGCCCCCCTGAGAGGCCCTGAAACAGCACGCGCTTCGTCCATGTCCTCTTCCGCCCCTCATTTCCCCCCCCCATCCCACCCCACACCCTCTTGTCTTTGCATTCCGCTCTCTCTCCCCCCTCTGCTGCAACACCTCGGTGGCACTGAATCCTCGGCATCACCGCAACAACAACGTGCGGCGCCCACGGTGCAGATGGGTTGGTGCAGACGCAGGTGGAGGTGGAGGGGCTCAGCTACCTCGCACTCGTCACCTTCGACAGCCCCGTGCCCATGGCGCACGCCACTGGCGCCATCGCGTGCAGCGACGTGGGTGATCTGGGCGGGGGCAGCAGCACCAAGATCACGGTGGAGTGGAAGTCGTTTGGCGTCGACACGGTGGGCACCGGCATGTGCAAGAGCCTCTCGTTTCACGCCGACCCGGGCTGTGCAGACAAGGGAGGATTGACCATCGCGCGCCCTGCCATGGTCGGCGGTGCCTTCCCCGTGACAAAAAGGTGAGCAAGAGCACTGTGGTTTCGTCTGCTGTGCTGCTTGCATGTCAAAGGGAGCACGCCAGTCAGCAAAGTTCTCTTCTTCAATGGCGTCCTCTGTGGTGTGCCGTCCCCTTTGCGCCCCACTCGCAGGACTGTGAGATCCACCCCGCCGCAGTCAATCAGCTGTGAAATTGGTAAGTGCGAGCGCAGAAACTTGTCCCGGGCACATGCGCAGAGCCCTTGGAGTGTCTTCACCGTCACTCTGAATGCATCACGTGCACATAGCCAAGGACGTTCAAGCGCCTTCACCTCTGTTCTGCTTAAGCAAGGTGGAGACACAGGCACTGCTCTCTGCACTTGATTCGCTGCCTCCCCATGCCATACATGCCTTACTCACCCCATTCACCCCTTCCCCGTACGTGCCTGGCCGTGTGCCCCTCGCTGCCAACAACAACAGCCACGTGTCACAAGGAATGCGGCACTGCACAGTGCGTGGTGAGGGATGCCACGTCTCAGTGCAAGTGCCCCTGGAGCCAAGTGTTCGACGAGGCGCAGAAGCGCTGCACCAGCAAGTCGCCCAGCACCACCCCTGGTACGTGCCTCTGTCTGCTATTGCATGTACCCATCCACAAATAGCTGCCCCATCAGCCGTTCTTGTGTGCAGGCAGAAATATAAGCTCCCTTGTTCAGCCAAGCCGTTCCTTCTCAGAAAGAAAGATTATCCCACCCCTTCCCTCCCCCACCCACGGCAGACCCGAACCCTAGCGGAGGCGCGGACCCGTGTGAGGCAGTGAAGTGTGCGAGGAACTCGCAGTGCGTGGGGAGGAACGGGCAGCCCACGTGCGAGTGTGACGCCGGCTACACCAAGGCCAACAAGGGCCTCTGCTCTGGTGAGCTCTACAAGGGCTCATCTTCTAATTTCCTTGCAAACGCTCTGCCCGTGAAGGTAGCACATGAGATTACAACGCTTCATGTCAGTCCATCTTGTATGTGTGTCCTCTTTGCCCTCACGCGGGCTTCCTTCCTCCTCCCCGTCTGCTGCCCCACTCAACCGCATGCTCTTCCCCTCCCCCCGCCTCCACACACCAGCCATGTGCAATCCGGGCTGCCCTGCGAATGGCCAGTGCGTGGTGGTGGGAGGGAAGCCCGTGTGTCGCTGCAAGGCGGGCTTCCGACAGGACAAGAGCAAGTGCACACGTAAGGGCAGAAGGGCGACGGAGAGCGAACCCCCGTTGTATTGTGCTAGTTTTCCAACCTCTCCAGTGCTCATTCTCTTTCCCCTCTCATCATGATATTGCAAGGAAAGGTGGTGTCTTTCGCCACCGTGAATCGTTCTCTTTCCCCACTTGCTTGCCACCTTGCCGTGTTCCATGTCTTTGCCTCTCACCCTCCAACCTATCCATCTCTCCCACCCGACCCACCCATCTGACAGCCGTGTGCAAGCCTGCCTGTGGTGCCAATGCACAGTGCATGGCGGTGAAAGGGAAGCCGGCGTGTGAATGCAAAACGGGGTTCAAGACCGTCAACAACAAGTGCATGCGTAAGAGAGGGACATAAGTGCTATCCTCGTGTTTTAGTCACTTCCACAATTTCCACCAGCCACATGCAGAACAACGCATGTGCTTTTGTCATCTGTGCTCGCTGCGCTGTAATGTAATCCCATCGGCTCTTCCCCGGTCATCCTCCATTCTTCCCATATCTCTCACCCACCCCACCCATCTGACAGCCGTGTGCAAGCCTGCCTGCACCGCCAATTCACAGTGCATGGCGGTGAAAGGGAAGCCGGCGTGCCAGTGCAGCACGGGGTTCAAGTCAGTCGACAACAAGTGCATGCGTAAGAGAGGGAGATAATTTTGCTTTTCAATTTCTCGCTCTCTTCCAAGCCTGTGAAGCTCCAATGAACCCCATGCTCTTCCCTCACTTCCAAAACCTTACCACCCACTTGCAACCATTCCACAATCTTTCTGTCTTGAGACATATGCTGTTTATGCTGCCTGTACTCCATTCCCTTCATCTCTTCCTCACTTTCATACTTTCCCTCTCTCGCACCCACCCCACCCATCTGACAGCCGTGTGCAAGCCTGGCTGTGGTGCCAATGCCCAGTGCATGGCGGTGAAAGGGAAGCCGGAGTGCCAGTGCAGCACGGGGTTCCAGCTGGTCAACAACAAGTGCACACGTAAGAGCGATGAAGACGAGTATGCTCTCCAGATTGCTCTCTTCCATGCGTGCACACCTCCACTTAACCTCATGCATGCGCTTCCCCCCTCTCTCACAACCTCTACCACCACAACCGCCTTCACTCCTATTCTCGTTCACCTACTCCTGCACCTGCCTTCTGTTTCCTCGTATATCCACAGGCTTCCATCTCCAAGGAGGGCATGCCTGGAGGGCATTCCATTGAGTCTCATACTGCTGTTCTCTTCCCACAACCCATCCACCCACTCAGGCAGATGAGGTGGATCTTGTTGAGCGCGATTCAAGGGTTGAAGATGCGCTCTCAAGGGGCCGGGGCTGTGTGATTCAATAGCAGAGAAGGGGTACAAGCGACTGCATGTGCTGTGCTTGCTCGCAAGGCACGAATGAAAGTTACATGGCGCTGTGGAAGACCAAGTGTAGGGGGGGGGGGGGGGGCGGAGGGGGGGGGGGGGGGGGGTTTAGAGTTTCTGTGTTGTGCAATGATTATTGTCTCGTTTCCCATAGGCTTGAATTCTTCTTTGCATGTTACGGTATGTTTCTCTGTTTCTAATCATTCGCTCCACGTCTCCCTTTCGAACAAACAATGTAGCAATGGTGTGAAAAGGCAAGAAATCATGACTAGCCTGATGAGACCTGATAGACTTCTCATTACAGTGGCCTTGTAATGTGTGCACGCATAGTTGGAGGCGAGGAGACCTCGGTCGGGTCATAAACTACAGTACTACCATAGCCTCGCTCGCTAGTGACACTCGGGTCGGGCACAAGTGGTGGAGACACTGGTGGTACCTGAAGCTGGTTTTCTTTGACATTTTTTGTAACCCCTAAAGCTTTACAAGCAGTCAAAAACTTATTCACCTAAACAGCAGTTGCTGCCACGTACATCATGGGCCATGGCCCATGGCACCTATAACCGTATTCCCCCGGATAAAGGACCCCCCCATAATAATGTACCTGGGTCTTTAATACAGGGGGGGGGGGGGGGGGGGAGGGGAGGAATTTTATTACGGGCTGTTTTCGTTATACCCCCCATTTGGGGTGAAATCATTATACCCCCCCCAAACCTCAAAAGTGTTTTTAACATGAAAATATCAGTCCCTGTTTCTGTTTCTGTTCCGAGGCGGTTTGACACAATGCAGTGGACGTGGTACACGTCCGTCGCCCCGTGATTTAGCGTGCTGGTTACCACTCAATGTGGGCCAATGTGCATGAAGCATTCAGATGCTTCATGGATTGTGCCCGCTTCCTGTTCCAGGACATTCGTGTGGTGTTTACCCGTTTTAAAAATGCAGCACAGCATTACAACACCCCTGCATTTCATTACATTCAGAAAAGCATAGCACTTATATAGTAAGACCCGGGTCTTATAGTTTTTATACAATTCAATAAGACCCCCCACATTTTTTTATGAAATCAATAACAGACCCTAGGGTCTTTTATCCGGGGGAATACAGAACGTGCTTCACTAAGCTGTGCACGGCATGCAAGCGCGGTGCTACTGGCCATGAAGGCGGTTGAAGAGGAGAACAAGCTGCTCGAATGACAGCTCCTCAGGACGCGCCTGCAAGCAGGGCGTGCAGGTGTGCAAGTAAGCTATGCGTGCATGTGTAATGGTATGGAACGTGGGACTAACAGGGCTGATTGGATCGGGTGTCAACTAGGGTGGAAGGTAGCGAAATGCATTACTGCTCTGCAGCGAGAGTGCAATGGGAGGCAGCGCAAGAAGGGGCGGAACATGGTGCTTGGAAGGAGATGCACTGTGGGGTGTGCTTCAGAGGGGCCAACAGCGATTCAGATCACTCAGCAACCAAAGCTTACCTGCTGCATCCCCGTCAGCACACCACCCACTGCACCTCACCGTGTGCACTGCACCCCCCCCCCCGTGCGCCCCTCTCACGGCACCACGTGACTCACAGTGGCGGGCAGCGAGAGCTCCTCCAGAGCAGCGGCCACCTGCTGCGAAGAGTACGTGGGCTGCAGCGACGCCCGCAGCATCTTGCGCTTCGCCTGGAACGCCCTGTTCACCTGCCCTCGTGCCGTGGTGGGGTGTGGAGCGGTGTGGTGCGGGTGTGTAGGGTGTGGCACGGCTCGAGATAAATTTACGACACAGAGAGTAAGGGAGCAGGATTTGGAGCACCTTGAGACAAGTGGGAAGCAGGACGTGAGTGAGAGAGGCAGAGAACATTGTGAGGGCAGGGATGGGGGCAGATGACAGGTGACAGAACAGATGCCAATGAGTGGGGTACCTCCGTGGCAATAAGAGCAGGGTGATGAGAATGCATGACACGATGTTGTGAGGAGCGTCTGCGTGCTTACCATGTGGAAGAACTGGGTGGGCGATGCCACTTGGACTCGTTCCATTGGTGGCTTGAGGGCGAATGACACCACTGCTGCATCAACCTGCTCCATGGGAGAGACACGGGACATGAGATGCTCAAAGAGAGACCCCACTTGAGATTCTTACAACAAGACATGGCGCTAAGACCAGAAACGGAGATGGATGTCAGCAAAGTTGTAAGACGCACAGGGTGATATTGTGCATGTGACATTGTGCATGTGACATTGTGCATGTGACATTGTGCATGTGACATTGTGCATGTGACATTGTGCATGTGACATTGTGCATATGACATTGTGCATATGACATTGTGCATATGACATTGTGCATGTGACATTGTGCATATGACATTGTGCATATGACATTGTGCATATGACATTTTGCATATGACATTGTGCATATGACATTGTGCATATGACATTGTGCATATGACATTGTGCATATGATATTGTGCATATGACATTGTGCATATGACATTGTGCATATGACATTGTGCATATGACATTGTGCATATGACATTGTGCATATGACATTGTGCATATGACATTGTGCATATGACATTGTGCATATGACATTGTGCAGATCATATTGTGCATATGACATGGGGTATGGGAGGCATACAGCATGAGGCATGAGGCATGGGGCATGGGGCATGGGGCATTGTCAGAACATTATAGTGCTTACATTTGTGTAGGTTATAGTGGGGTAGCCCATAAGGGGTACAACTCAATTAGGGTTAGTACTTGTACCCAACTGTTTCATAGCTCATTCATTCTCGTTCATTCTTCTGACATGGTTTCAGAGTAGGTCCTCCGTTAGGACCGTTTTTTTTTCCTTGGGCCCACCACAGCGCTACCCCGCTAGCCGCCCTCTGCAGCCCTCGAGCTGCCCCTACTGCCTGTCGCGACCGTTAGGCCCGTAGGCCCGACGCCCCTAGCCCGTCGCCTCGGCCCGTCGCCCTAGGCCCGTCGCCCCCGGCTCGTCGCCCGTCGCCACCTAGGCCCGTCGCCCCGCGGCCCGTCGCCCGTCGCCACCTAGGCCCGTCGCCCCGAGGCTCGTCGCCCGTCGCCACCTAGGCCCGTCGCCCCGTGGCTCGTCGCTCGTCACCACCTAGGACCGTCGCCCCGCGGCCCCTCGCCCGTCGCCCCCCCCTAGGCCCGGCCCGTAGCCCTTAGCCTTGCGGCCCGTCGCCCTTAGGCCCCCCGAGGCCCGTCGTTCCTGGCCCCGCGGCCCGTCGCCCCTACGCCCCCGGCCCCTCGGCCCGTTTCTCCTGGCCCCGCGACCCGTCGCCCCTAGGCCCCGCGGCCCGTCGCCCCTAGGCCCCCGGCCCCTCACACCTGGCCCCGCGGCCAATCTCCCTTAGGCCCCCCCCAGGCCCGTTGTTCCTGGCCCCACGGCCCGTCGCCCCTAGGCCCCCGGTCCCTCGGCCCTTTTTTTTCTGGCCCCGCGGCCAGTCGCCCCTAGGCCCCCAGCCCCTCGGCCCATTGCTCCAGGCCCCGCGGCCCGTCGCCCCTAGGCCCCCGGCCCCTCCAACCTGGCCCCGCGGCCCGTCGCCCCTAGGCCCCCGGCCCCTCGGCCCGTTGCTCCTGGCCCCGCGGCCCGTCGCCCCTAGGCCCCACAGCCCGTCGCCCCTAGGCCCCCGGCCCTTTGGCCCGTCGTTCCTGGCCCCGCGGCCTGTTGCCCCTAGGCCCCCGGCCCTTTGACCCGTCGTTCCTAGCCCCGCGGCCCGTCGCCCCTAGACCCCCGGCCCCTTGGCCCATCTCTCCTGGCCCCGTGGCCCTTTGCCCCTCGGCCTGTCGGCCCTAGGCCCCCGGCCCGTCACTCCCGGCCCTTGCAGCCCGTAGCTCCTGGCCCTGCGGCCCTTCTCCCCTAGCCCCGGCCCTCAGCCCCTGGCCCCGCGGCCCGTCGCCCCTAGGCCCTCGAGCCGCCCCTCCTGCAGCCTGCTGCCTACCCTGTTCCTCGCGCGGCCCGCCCTCTGCCCGCCCTACATGCTGCGCCACTATGGCTTCTCTCTGCGTACTAGCTTTCGATCATGAGGGACGCCTGATCCAGTTTGACACGTGGCTTGACGACCTGCAGCTGTACCTACTGAGCGACTCTAGGGACAGTGTTTCGTTGTTTGACCACACGTCTGGCGCCGCTCCCGCCCCTCCCGCCACAGCTGACAGTGCGACTCGCTCACAGTGGCTTACTCGTGACGCTGCTGCTCGCTTAGCCATTCGCCACCACCTTCCGTTGGCCGAATGCGCTCACTTCTAACAGCACAGGACAGCACAGGCACTGTACGACGCTGTAGTCGCCCGATACTCCTCGCCTGCTACTGCTGCTCTAGGCCGTCTTCTACTGCCCTACCTGTTTCCCGAGCTGTCCGCCTTTGCCACAGTAGAGGATCTAGTTTCCCACCTTCGCACTAGCGATGCTAGCTACCGTGCTGCCCTCTCACAGAGTTCCTTGCCAAGAAACTCGCCCCCGATGTACATCACTCTCTACTTTATAGTCACCCGCCTCCCTGACTCTCTTCGCGGTGTCAGGGACCACTTTTTCGCGCTCGACCCCACAGACCTCACTGTTGACCTACTCGAGCAGCACCTCCTTGCAGCTGAGACTAATATAGTCGCTGTAGGTGCTGCTCGTGGCACTCCTCG